TTCCAAGTGTGGCGGTAGTACTACCTACGCCCAGCGCAGCGCGCGAAAGATTTTCAAACGTATCACCGGAGAGAACCAGCAGCGCCGGTGGAAGGAGCCGAAACAAGCGTCTGTCGGGTAAGACTGTGAACGATCTGCTTGTGCCTCCAAGAATGACATTTCCGGGACGAAGTGCCTCGGAGTTCGTCGGCAGGGAAGCAACCCTCCATCGAGTCGAAGGCCTTCGGAGCAGTGCTTTGGTCGGAATTGATGAAAAAAATTGTAGCAGCTCTCCGTCTGAGATGGACACCTTTGCGATCCCGTACAAAGGACGAAAATGCTCCAGAGAGACGTGATGGGCACCCTTCCACCCCATGCTCGAGGGACGATCAATTAAAACTCTGGCGTAGCTGGACGACATGGCTTTGAATCCAGAAGCCTAGAATCGCTCCCGGCATCGAACGTGCGAGTCGTCCGATGAAACGCCTCTGGAAGTCTGGAGAGATGACCAACACTCCAATCAGTTAAATATTGAGAGAACTGAGATATTTTTGAGAGAGCCAGAAAGAAGCCATTACGGAGAGAAGCCCACCGAAAGGAACTAGAGTGGAAAAGTGTGATCTTTCGCCCGACAGATTACGCCGGTCGCCGTCTTTCGCATTAACCGGACGAGGACTGGATTCAGGGAAAAATAGATGGTCTTACTGTCTAGAAGGTCACCAACACACCGCCTTCTTTAATTTTCAGAACCGTCGTGTTTGCGGTTAAAACCTTCAAATAATGCGTGGGTGGCGGAAATTGACTTTTTTTTTTCAAAGGCCCTTTTCTGATCCGTATTTCGCCGTTCTGAATTTAGCTTAATTTACCCGGAAGAATTTGGTGTTTGTACAGTTGTACGGACGTAGTCACGAGTTTTGCCAGGCAGCTTCGGTAGTAGTCTTGTCTTTGGAGCCTATTTATGTTCGACGCGTAAGATTCTTCTGATCTTTGACGGCGTTTCGTCACATGTATTTGTCTCTGATTAGTCTAAAAGCATTTCCTCACTAGCACAGCAGTTTAGATTATTGTCCAATCCTCTGCGACAATCGTTCTCATCATGGACATTCTTGTGCAATACTGTGGTATTCTTGGACTTTTTTCAGGAAAAATTTGTTAAATTCGTATACAAGATCGTTCAAGTGCTGCACGATTATTGTTTCCCATTCTGACATTTCACGTGTATAGGAATTCTTTCTGTAGAGTTGAGATGATCGCCTATCTGCTAAAATAACTGACTTAATGGTACCAAGGAGAACTTACCTCCGTGTGCCTGATCTTCTAAAGAACATACTTATGTTAGTGTCTGGATAAATCTTCTCACATATGAGCTCCAAAGTTCTGATTCAAATCTGATTACTTGGTATTGCATGATCCCTGAGTCCGATAAAATCTTTCTGGTGTTATTAAGCACATCTGTTCTGCGCCGTAAGCACATAAGCATATTTTTCTGTATGGTTCGCGTTTGAATTACCTACCCAGAGGAGGCAAATATAGCAGTCCAGGCCAGAATATCACGTAAAGATTCTGTTGGTAAGTGTCAGGGAAGTTTATGACTATTTACATTTCATTATCCAATAACTATCTTTGTAGTAATTTTGAATGCGTTTCTTAATTCTAGAATTTCTCGTAGTGCTGTTCAAATGCGTAAGCAAAATAACTGATGTCATCCTAAAAATATTTGCCTGTACGATATATGTGACCTACTGATCCTGTTTACTGCATCCATGCATTAATGGCATAGCACTTGGGTCCAAAGCAATATCTGATTCTGACACTTATTCTGATTCACTGTAGTACCGCGATATCTGAGTTGTCTTGTGACTCAATTTATCTTCCTGATTGGCATTATGATCGTATTGAGACTCAGTTCTTGATCCTACTCGTTCCTGTTCTGTTATCTGCTTCTAGATTCTGCCTATTCGATCTTGTTCGAGTTTCTGTGACGTTGTGCGATCACTGATTGTTTTATAGTTGATTTCTGAAGTCTTTTTATTGAAGCTGTGTTTGTCGCTTGAATGAAACTTGTTGATGGCTCACGGCTTGCTATATCTATAGGTGTATTCAGGGCTTCTGGGAACGGAAGGAAGGTCCAGTTACTAGATTCAGGTTGATCACGTGTTCTAGTCGGAGTCTCTCTCTCCCATAATACATATATCCTTGACTTTCCTTGTGACCTCACGCAACATTTGCGCCTCTTCCTGCTGGCCGATGGCTGTCTGCTCGTGTCTGAAGACATGGATGAGGCGCCATCGGGTCCTCTGAGTAGTAGCGCTA